GTGTATGACTGATAGCTAAGTAGTCAAGTAAGATAGTTGTGTTTGACTGATAGCTAAGTAGTCAAGTAAGATAGTTGTGTTTGACTGATGGCCAACTAGTCTAGTAAGATAGTTGTGTGTGACTGATAACTAACTAGTCTAGTAAGATAGTTGTGTATGACTGATAGCTGAGTAATCTAGTAAGATAGTTGTGTATGAGTGATAGCTGAGTAGTGTAGCAAGATAGTTGTGTATGACTGATAGCCAACTGGTCTCGTAAGATAGTTGTGTATGACTGATAGCTGAGTAGTCTAGTAAGATAGTTGTGTATGAATGATAGCTGAGTTGTGTAGCAAGATAGTTGTGTATGACTGATAGCTAAGTAGTCTAGTAAGATAGTTGTGTATGACTGATAGCTAAGTAGTCTAGTAAGATAGTTGTGTGTGACTGATAGCCAACTAGTCTAGCAAGATGGTTGTATATGACTGATGGCCAACTAATCTAGTAAGATAGTTGTGTATGACTTATAGCTAAGTAGTCTAGTAAGATTGTTATGTATGAGTGATAGCTAAGTAGTCTAGCAAGATAGTTGTGTATGACTGATGGCCAACTAATCTAGTAAGATAGTTGTGTATGACTGATAGCTAAGTAGTCTAGTAAGATAGTTGTGTATGACTGATAGCTAAGTAGTCTAGTAAGATAGTTATGTATGAGTGATGGCCAACTAGTCTAGTAAGATAGTTGTGTATGAGTGATGGCCAACTAGTCTAGTAAGATAGTTGTGTATGACTGATAGCTGAGTAGTGTAGCAAGATAGTTGTGTATGACTGATAGCCAACTGGTCTCGTAAGATAGTTGTGTATGACTGATGGCCAACTGGTCTCGTAAAGTAGTTGTGTATGAGTGATAGCCAACTGGTCTCGTAAGATAGTTGAGTCAGTTCTTTTCCATTGTGTGGTTGTTGAGTCAGTTCTTTTCCATTGTGTGGTTGTTGAATCAGTATTAGTCACATAGTTAATGTAGTCGATACATTACATAGTAGATACAAGTGATATTGGTATTGAATCAATATTAGTCACATACCTAACATGGTCAATACATTATATAGTAGAGACTAGTGATGTTGATATTGAATCAATATTAGTCACATACCTAACATGGTCGATACATTATATAGTAGACTAGTGATGTTGGTATTGAATCCGTATTAGTCACATACCTAACATGGTCGATACATTATATGGTAGAGACTAGTGATGTTGGTATTGAATCAATATTAGTCACATACTTAATGTAGTTAATATGTTATATAGTGGAGACTAGTGATGTTGATATTGAATCAGTATTAGTCACATACCTAACATGGTCGATACATTATATAGTAGAGACTAGTGATGTTGATATTGAATCAGTATTAGTCACATACCTAACATGGTCGATACATTATATAGTAGAGACAAGTAATATGAGTATTAAAAACTTTTATTTAGAACACAAAACAAGTAACAATGTTTCAACCTCTGTAGATCATCATTGGGTTGAAAATCTTCACGTGGATTCCTCGTAAGTACAGATTAACTATCTTCATTGTAGGTGTATATACTCCAGAACAAGCCTTAGCTTTTAACTTTTCACACTTATCATTGTGTTTAACTCCACCAAAGGTTGTGCCGGTTCAGTAATTTATAGTATGGTTGTTGACTCAGTATAGATCAGATATTGTACTACAAGGGATTTCCCTGTTTTGGAACTTCTAAATCTTCATTGTGAACCTGTCTTTATGATGTGTTACATATCCTTCCCAAAAACAATCACACTACATACTGAATGCCAAACAGTGTTAAAATGTAGTCATTTCACCGTGACTTGACATCATATGTGGATCGCTGATTTGCATATTCAAAATGGTTTTCATATAATACACCTCTGTAAGTTATAGTAGTCCTTTTTGTTTGTCAGGTACAATCATCTCATGCTACAGTGTGGACATGTCTAGTCTCAACAGTCTGTTTTCATTCACAAGCCCTGCTGTGAAGAAGCTTTTGGGGTGGAAACAGGGTGATGAAGAAGAAAAGTGGGCTGAGAAAGCTGTAGATTCATTAGTCAAGAAACTGAAGAAAAAGAAGGGTGCCATTGAAGAACTAGAAAAAGTTTTAAGTTGTCCTGGGCAGCCCAGTAAATGTGTGACTATTCCTCGGTCTCTAGATGGCAGGCTGCAGGTAAGTTACATCTGATCTTTATTGACTGTTTTCAATAAATGTCAGTGTAGCTTGTAGTTAGAAGTACTGTATCATACTTGTGTTAATTTACTTTGTTTTTTTTTATTTATGTTTTTCTTTTTTATACTAGATGCATGATAGCTTTTTTTTAAAAAAAAAGATAATTTGTGCTTTCAAATGTGTAATTTTAAGATAAATGTAAAAGATGTACAGTATGTACTTGTGGAATTGTTTGAGGAGAGCAGGAAGCTGATTGGTTTCAGGTAGTAGTAGAACCATATAGAAAATGTGAGGTAGATGGAACTTTAACCTTTACAATGTTTTTATAACCTAGGTATCTCATAGAAAAGGACTCCCTCATGTTATTTACTGCAGAGTTTGGCGTTGGCCAGATCTTCAGAGCCATCATGAACTAAAACCTTTGGATATTTGTGAATTTCCTTTCTCTGCAAAACAGAAAGAAGTGTGCATTAACCCATATCATTATAAAAGGATAGAAAGTCCTGGTGAGATCTCAAAGCTGTTTGTTTAGTTTTGTAAATGCTAAAAATTATCTTTGTATTTCAAACTACTTATTGTACTCATAGAAAATAATTTGCAAGTAAAATATATGATGTATGTTGTACTCTAACATTAGGTTGTAGGTGTTAGGCCATGAACCATTTGTATTCTCAGCACCTTATGATGGATACATATATATGAGATGGATTAAAAGTTATGGTTTAAATGCCTAAAATTATTCTGAAATAAAATTAACTGCAGCCATTTTTTATTTTCACATATGTCTTAATTTGTGCATTATGTTGAAAGTGTGTAAAAAAAAAATAGCATTTCACATCTGTCTTTTCTCATTAAACTTTTCATTCAATACCAGAACCCATCAATTGGACTGGAGGATAAGAGATAAATAATTCTATGAAATACTATATATTCCAAAACTATATCCTTACCTATCTTTACATGATATCTATTCCTTACATATCTGCCTTTGAGATTTTGGGCATGCTATTAGCCTTGAGCTATCTCACACTTAAAACATGTTTTAATGTGAACTGCACTATGGTGTGATATCATCATCATGTAACAGTAGCTTTCAACCAATAGGAGAGCGACACATCCTCCACATGCAGTAATCACCATATAAACTTGAAATTAGCTTCATTCTTTTCTTCAGCACTGTCCAGAAAGGATCTGTTTCTTGAACTTTAAACTTTGTTCAGTGTAATGAGACTTGTTCATTGTATTTTATTTTATTTCATCATAAATCACCTTTCAATTACTGCATACTAAAAAAAATTGCATAATTAGGTGACTACTTCCTCCTGCCAAAGTTCTAGCAATGTAACTAACACTGACCCCACTTAGTCTGTGACCCCTGAAGGTTCATTGACTGTGGGGACATCATTGTTCAATGTATCGTGGTTTCATTAATATTTTCATTTCCTTATCTCCCCGTTCTTGTGTTGGGAGGGTTGGGTTTTCTCCTCTTTCTGAATCCAATCACAAGGGTGATGATTTTGATTGGCTCTTTCTATCTACTGGGCTTGTACTATGCTTCTATTTACCTGTAGAGGCCAATTTTCCTCTTCCAAATCTCTTTGTGGATTTGATTTCTCAGGTTTGTTCTGTATTTTTTCTTTCACCTATGTGTTTTGATTCTTCTTATTTTTTACTATACATGCTGGGAATTATTTGGTTTTTCTTCCTTCTCCAGGCATTTGTGCACATGTTGACACATTTCTGGATCAGCTTTTTTCACACTCAAATGCATTGTCCTTCTCGACTCCAGGATTCCTTTGCCATGGGTTGTGGAAGTTCCTCTTTTCCATTTTGGGAGTTCCAATGTCTAGAGTTCCTTTTCCCTGTTACCAGTAACTCTCTCTGGAATCACTTTTCTCACCTTTGCCTTTTTCTTACCCATTTCTTTCTTTACCTATTCTCTCTTCATCTCCTTTCTGAAAGCCTAGACTGTGATCCTGATAGTTTCTCTGGAGATCTACAGTTGGTTCTTTTTAATACCCTGACATGGGCTTCATGTTCTATGTTGTCCCTGCTTACTCTTCTGTAGAGACCTTCTGGGACATGATGCTCTTCTCTCTGATATTTGTCTGTCCCATTCTTACTTCCATGACTTTTCTCTGGCTTCTTTTCTTCACCCTGAGTTCTTATGTGATGTTCCTAACACCTTGAAGACTTGGGCCAAGACTGCCCTACACCAGTCCTCTTTTTACTCCTTAGTTTCTCATCTCTCCCAACTTCAAGAATCCATGCATGTTCCTTGACCTCATGAAACTTCCATCTCTTTCACTTTTCCCGATTTTCTTCCCTCTACTTATTCTTGCTGTTTTCTCTCCCATCAAGTTGCTCTCACATGTCCCATCAGTGACTACCTACCTTTGTACCCATCAGCTCAGAATTTGTGGGGCACATCTGTTTCTTGTTGCAGACCTCTGGACTCCATTTGGCGGTGTCCGGTTTTATTCCAGTTCTTACACAAGGCTTTTTTCATAACTTATCATTTCTTCCTCCTGTGTCTTGAAGTTGCAGTATTAAATCTTTTGGACAAGAGATCCATTGAGGGGGGTCCTTTGTCCTTCTCATCTTTTTGTTGTCCCATAAAAGACTGGGAACTGTCATCAACTTTTAGTTGTTCTTCAGACCGATATGGGGGGGGGCTGAGTGGAAAATAATTATTTCTTTCCTATTTTTCTCCTGTCAATCCTCTTGTGATCATACTGATCCTGATCATCTTTTTTCTTCAGTTTATCTGGTCAGATGTTACTTGGCATGCACAGTTCCATTTCAATAGTTTATTTTTGCTGTGGTATCCCTCTCCCTATAGGAATCTCTCTTCCTTTGTGCTCACCAGGTGGAGTTGTCAACTCATCCATATTATATATTTGTACCTGGATGGAGAGGCTCACAGGCTGTATCACATCAAATATACCACTTGACTCGCTCCCTGGCCTCTCATTTTCAACAAGTGCTTCCAGGATAGAACGTGGACTATGCCAAACATTTTAGTTTTCCATTAGAAATTACCAGTTGTTGAATGTTATTGTTTATGGTATGAGGAGTATAATTACTAGGTGTTGAATCTTATTGTTTACAGAATTAAGATTATAAATTATCAGTTATTGAATCTTTTGCTCATAGTGTTGGGAGTATAATTACCAATTGTTGAATCTATTGTTTACAGTATCAGGAGTATAATTTACCAGTTGTTGAATCTATTGTTTACAGTATCAGGAGTATAATTTACCAGTTGTTGAATCTATTGTTTACAGTATCAGGAGTATAATTTACCAGTTGTTGAATCTATTGTTTACAGTATCAGGAGTATAATTTACCAGTTGTTGAATCTATTGTTTACAGTATTAGGAGTATAATTTACCAGTTGTTGAATCATATTGTTTACAGTACTAGTAGTATAATTACCAGTTGTTGAATCATATTGTTTACAGTACTATAATTACCAGTTGATGAATCTTATTGTTTACAGTATTAGGAGTATAATTACCAGTTGATGAATCATATTGTTTACAGTATTAGGAGTATAATTACCAGTTGTTGAATCATATTGTTCACAGTATTAGTAGTATAATTACCAGTTGTTGAATCTTATTGTTTACAATATTTGTAGTATAATTGCCAGTTGTTGAATCTTATTGTTTACAGTATTAGGAGTATAATTACCAGTTGTTGAATCTATTGTTCACAGTATTAGTAGTATAATTACCAGTTGTTGAATCTTATTGTTCACAGTATTAGGAGTATAATTACCCGTTGTTGAATCTTATTGTTTACAGTATTAGTAGTATAATTGCCAATTGTTGAATCTTATTGTTTACAGTATTAGGAGTATAATTGCCAGTTGTTGAATCTTATTGTTTACAGTATTTGTAGTATAATTGCCAGTTGTTGAATCTTATTGTTTACAGTATTAGTAGTATAATTGCCAATTGTTGAATCTTATTATTTACAGTATTAGGAGTATAATTGCCAGTTGTTGAATATTATTGTTTACAGTATTAGTAGTATAATTGCCAGTTTTTAAATCTTATTGTTTACAGTATTAGTAGTATAATTACCAGTTGTTGAATCTTATTGTTTACAGTATTAATAGTATAATTACCAGTTGTTGAATCTTATTGTTTTCAGTATTAGGAGTATAATTGCCAGTTGTTGAATCATATTGTTTACAGTATTAGGAGTATAATTGCCTTTTTTTGAATCTATTGTTTGGAATTTATTTATATTTTCAAAGAGTATGAAATTACTTCTTGTCAATACTGTATTTATGAAATAAGTTCAGTTTGTGTGTCTGTACCATTTTTAACTGTTAAGTCTATAGTGAAATAGATGTCAGCCTGGAAAAATAAAAAGACTGATATGTTATTTATTGAATTTGTGTACATATTTACAGGTGCCCCAGTTCTTTGTTGAGAAATATAAATTTATGATTTATTGGAGATATAAAAATGATCAAAATATTGTACACAACTTTTACAGTAATTCCTAAATTTAACACTATCTTTTGAAGTATTATTGTCACAGCTATTAATTTTTTAAAATCACAAACATTATATTAATTTTGTATAAGCCCAACTTCTATAACCTAGTGAAAGGTTCTAAGGCATTAAATTAAACTCACTGTAAGACAGTTGTGAATCTTCTCTATGTTTTACTTGCATAATATGCACATATTAGAAAACTTTTAATTTTTTGGAAAATTTCTTGATTTCTAATAAATGTAAAATGTTTCTGGCCAGTGTAAGGATGTGAAGCTATCATCTCAGAAAAGTGATAATACATCATTAGTTTTATGTGCTTTACTAATAAAACACCCATGAAATAAGATACTAACACTTGAAAACAATGTATTCTTTATTTTACCAATATTGCATGTAATTTTCAGAATAAAAATTTGAAATTCTGTTATATAATTTTGAATGTTAATTTGTTTTTCCTGGATTGTTTTACCTTTATAGTGGTGGTTTTTGAATAAAAACCAATTTAAATCTTTAATATTTTGTATTTTTGTCATTAGAGTAAACCTTCCATTCTTGTACATTTTGTAAATTCATTATTAATTTCTAAAGATATAAAAATTCTATTGCCAGTGCTGCCACCTGTTTTGGTTCCACGTCACAGTGAATTTCCTCCAGGTCATCCAGTTGTCAGCAACTTCCAGACAGTTCCTGACACTGCCATGCCTCAGAATGTTAGTTACTCAGTTCAAGGGTTTACATCTCCTCCTCCTTCACTGAGTAACATATCTGCCCCAGCAGGAATTGTTGCTTCTTCTTCAGGATCAAGCATTGGTATTTCAGCACCAAATAGCCCTTTTGGACTTCCTGGTAGGAAGTTTTATTGTATTGTTTTACATTTCACATAAGATGCTGTGCTGATCTTATTTTTTATCAGGTTTGTCATTTTATTTAATCATTTGTTATTAATAATTGTTTTAATAAATTGTACTTTCTGTTTTTTTTTTTGCATTTTGTTATATTATTAATTTTTCAATAAAAGCAAAACATTTCCTCTTTTTATTGTTTAAAAGGTTTGGGTGATGGTAGTAGTGGTCTGTGTGTGATTTATTCAATGTAGTTCATTATGTTCTGTGATGGTAGCAGTGCTATTACACTATTATCTTCTGTGATGGTAGCAGTGCTGTTATAGTATTATCTTCTGTGATGGTAGCAGTGCTGTTACACTATTATCTTCTGTGATGCTAGCAGTGCTTTACACTATTATGTTCTGTGATGGTAGCAGTGCTGTTATAGTATTATCTCCTGTGATGGTAGCAGTGCTGTTATAGTATTATCTCCTGTGATGGTAGCAGTGCTATTACACCACAGAACATAGTGTAATAGCACTGCTACCATCACAGAGCATAATATTGTAATAGCACTGCTACCATCACAGAGCATAATAGTGTAATAGCACTGCTACCATCACAGAACATAATAGTGTAATAGCACTGCTACCATCACAGAACATAATAGTGTAATATCACTGCTACCATCACAGAAGATAATACTATAACAGCACTGCTACCATCACAGAAGATAAGAGTGTAATACCACTGCTACCATCACAGAATATAATAGTGTAATAGCACTGCTACCATCACAGGAGATAATAGTGTAATAGCACTGCTACCATCACAGAAGATAATAGTGTAATAGCACTGCTACCATCACAGAATATAATAATAATAGTGTAATAGCACTGCTACCATCCTTCTGTGATGGTAGCAGTGCAATTACACTATTATGTTTTGTGATGGTAGCAGTGCTATTACACTATTATATCCTGTGATGGTAGCAGTGCTATTACACAATTATCTTCTGTGATGGTAGCAGTGATATTACACTATTATCTTCTGTGATGGTAGCAGTGATATTACACTATTATCTTCTCTGATGGTAGCAGTGCTATTACACTATTATCTTCTGTGATGGTAGCAGTGCTATTACACTATTATGTTCTGTGATGGTAGCAGTGCTATTACACTATTATGTTCTGTGATGGTAGCAGTGCTATTACACTATTATGTTCTGTGATGGT